TAAAGTAGTAAAAAATAAAAGTTTGGTCCCAAGTTTGGACCACAAAACTCACCAAAGGTAGCTTAAAAATTAACATCCCTATCAGGTAATAATGGTTTTAGGAATGCCATGCATTCTAACAACTTCGCGGAAAAACAAATCCACTATGTGTGTGGCAACATATGTTTTGTGATATGGTATAAAGTATGTCATTTTGGAAAAATGATCAACAACAATAAATATTGAGCCTCTCCCTTTTCTAGTCCTAAGCAAACCCAACAAAAAGTCTAAGAAATATCAACCTAAGGATGTGTAGGAATGGGTAATGGCATATATAATCCATGTGGTTGAACTCTAGACTTAGCTTGCCTACATGAGATGAACTGCACACAAATTTTCTCAATATATTTACGCATATTAGGCCAAAAGAAATGTTCATATAAAATGTTCAAAGTTTTGTCAATCCCAAAATGTCCCATTAAACCACCACAAGGTGCTTCACGAACAAACAACTCCCCAATAGAACTATTAGACACATATAATTTTCTCTTTTTAAATAGAAAACCATCATGCCTATAAAATTCTTGAAATGTCGCATGTTCACAAGCCACATAAATATTTGAAAAATCAGTATCATGCACATATAATTTTTTTGAAATGCTAAAATCCCAACAACTTTGTAGAAAGAGTAGAGATAAGACTGTACTTTCTTGAAAGCGCATCAGCTACCACATTTTCTTTTTCTTGCTTATATTGGATCACATATGGGAAAAACTCTATGAATTCTACCCATTTTGCATGTCGTTTATTAAGCTTGTCTTGCCCTTTTAAATGCCTCAAATATTCATGATCAATGTGAATCACAAATTCTTTTGGTAACAAATAATGCTGTCATGTCTCTAATGCTCTTACCAAAGCATAAAATTCTTTGTCATAGGTGGAATAATTCATTTGTGCACCATTGAGCTTCTCACTAAAGTAAGCAATGAGTCTTTTATCCTGCATAAGAACAGCACCTATCCCAAGCCCAGAGGCATCACATTCAATTTTAAAAGTTGAATCAAAATTAAGCAATCTTAATAAAGGCGCATTACATAACTTTTCTTTCAATAAGGAAAACACATGTTCTTGTTCTTTTCCCCAAACAAACCCTTTATCTTTTTTCATAATTTTTGTTAAAGGGCAGCTACGGTGCTAAAATCTTTTACAAATCTCCTATAGAAACTTGCCAAACTATGAAAACTACGCACCTCACTTACACTTTTAGGTGTCGACCACTCTTGAATAGCCTTTACCTTTTCACTATCTACCTCGATTCTTTTTGCACTCACGACATATCCTAAGAAAATGATCCGATCAATGCAAAATATACATTTTTTCATGTTAGCATATAGTTAAAATTTGCGCAATGTGTCAAACATTTGCCTCAAATGCATGACATGTTCATCAATAGATTTGCTATACACAAGAATGTCATTGATGTAGACAACCACAAACTTTCCAAAAAATTCACGTAAAACATGGTTCATTAAACGCATGAAATTACTTGGCGCATTAGTTAAACCAAATGACATAACCAACCACTCATATAACCCTTTTTTTAAAAAAAAAAGCAGTTTTCCATTCATCTCCATGTTTCATTCTTATTTGGTGATAACCATTTTTAATATCAATTTTAGAAAATACACAAACAACATGCAACTCATCTAAGATATCATCAAGTCGAGGTATTGAGTGTCGATATTTTACCGTTATTTTGTTGACGGCCCTACAATCAACACACATACGTCAACTACCATCTTTTTTGGGTACTAATAAGACGAGCACTACGCATGGGCTTAAACTTTCTCGAATGTGCCCCTTTTGTAAGAGATCCTCCACTTGCCTTTGAAGCTTTTTGGTCTCCTCGGGATTGTTCTTATAGGCTGGTCTATTTGGTATGGCAGCCCCGGGAATGAAGTCAATTTGATGCTCAATCCCTCTCAAATGTGGTAAACTTTGAGGTAGATCATCGGGAAAGACATCGCTAAATTCCTACAAAACTTCAACCACAACACTTAGCGAAGAAGGGTCAAGTTTGTTAACT